TTATCAGCGCCAATAACATATGGATGACCCAGCACCATCTATGTACAAGGTAAGAAGGTTTCATATTTTTTCAGATTCCGCTATGTAATGTTGAAACGGTCATATCTGGCTAACCTGTCAGCTTTGGTGTTTATCTCGCATTGTGAGTGTCTAGAATTCTCTAGCTAGTGTTAATCCTAAGGGCTCGTTGAGAAACTATCCAAGTATGAGACACTGGCCGTTATTTCTGGGTGGCAACCGGATCGAGCTTCTTTGGATGGCCACCATTTGAAATCAGACAATTTTGGGATGAAGGACTTTGGACTGCGGTCTCAGTCACGCTCTTGTACACTGAACAACTGCGAAATTTTGGAGGAAACAACTGATGATATTTTTTTAATGAATCCAATCGCGTACCACTGCGCTCTTTGCTTTGTGTACAAACATTTCATGCTGTAAGTCGTTTGTACCGTCCACCCGATAGTAGGTATGTAGGTACTATACACTGAAAACTAAAATGATTCCGGAGGGGTGATATTAGGAGAATGGTCTAAAAAGAAACCCCAATTATTCCCGTAATATACTTCAAGTAGCACCTTTTTGGCCTTAGATACCCCCAATATCCCAACATTATTACCCTAATATGCCTGTTGGATGGCTAAGTGGAATCAAAATGATTATCTGGTTATGCCTCCATTATTCTTACGAAATGCCTAATGTATTCCCCCTGATTCTCCTCTATGCCCCTTTGATGCCCCCTAGCATAGTTCCAATGCTCCGTCTAAACCCGATCTATGCTCCTTTGATGCTATCTATATACCCCATTGATGCTCCTTTGATGCTTGCTATAAACCCCATTGATGCTCCTTTGATGCTCTCTATATACCCCATTGATGCTCCTTTCATGCTCTCTACATACCCCATTGATGCTCTCTATATACCCCATTGATGCTGATTTGATGCTCTCTATACACCACATTGATGCTCCTTTGATGCTCTCTATATACCCCATTGATGCTTCGTTCCGCAGTGGCGGATCAAGGGATGGGATCGCGGGGTCATGCTATTCCTCGTGAGATCCCCATGAGATACCTAGCGCACTGATTTCTTTACCCACACAAAGGTAAGAGACGCCATTTATGTAACCACCTTCGCCCTTCCTCTGGATTTCCTGGATCCGCCCATGCCATCGACGGTCAGCCACACCAACAGGAACCACGTTACGCTTGTGTGTATAAGAAAAACGTACTGTATTGATTGGAAAGACAACTACCTCTGCATTCATTTCAAAATCACAGCTTCCTAGTTGCCAAGAGACATTCAATTTGTACTATCCATATTAAACATACGTCACGCACACGCCTCATATAACAAATGCCATATCACATGTTGAGATCCAGGCTGTAAAAAACACATGACACACGAGAAGCGCCGCTGGCTCTTCTATGATGACCGTTCCCTCTTACGAAGGAGTCGCAAAACAACCGGTGCCTCTTCAAATGGCGTGGTTTTTCCCACCTTTGCTACACAACGAAAGTTGGGCGTGTGGCTCCTACGAGTTCCCCCTCCCTGACCTCAAGGAAGTCCGACAACGTAGCCCAGGGGCTGCCACAGGATGTCAACAGGCCCGCCCATGCCGCTTGTGACCCCTTTCCCTGTGGGGCGGGCCATCACGTCCGTCTCCATCATCTCCGTCCTCGTCCATCACTCCGTCTCCACTCCGCCCCTGGGCTTACCTCACTGCGCGGGCACACTATGCTGTCAGCACCGACAGATTTTTCAGCGCGTCCGCCGTCGCTGTTGACTCTGCCGGCAGCCCCATGATGTCGTGGACGATGAACCACATCGTGGAGCGCGATGCACGGGACACTTTCTGGTTGAAGACGTAGTGGGCGACCCCGAAGAGAAGGAGTGCCTCTTCAAGGCACTGGGCGCTGGCCACCACTGTTTCTTCGACCACGATGTCGACCATTTCATCGTCATATGAGTTCCTGCTAAGGATGGTACCCACCCTCAATAAGGCTCAATTCCAGCCTAAAAATGGCACCACTCGCAACCACACAGCACCCAACACCGCTCTTCACTGATCACCGGAAATGGCGGATAAAAATGGCGGACCTTTGGCGCGTTCCTGATGCTTCCAACGAAGAATCATTGAGGAATAATATGGTTCTACTCGGGTGATATCAAGAGTATTTTGAAAGAATCAGGCAAAGGAAGCATAACAGAAGAATATGAAAGCATCTCAAGGGAATATGAGCCTCCCTGTGATTCCGGCAAGATACCCTCTGGGCAATGACAGGGTATATTGTAAGAATAGATAGAGAATCATAAAGGCATAACTGTCAGCGACTGGGGTATCAACAGCATCTTATACGCACGGAATCATGCAGAATCATTTGGGGTATCAATGGCATAATATGGTTCTCACAGGGTGATATCAAGAGCTTATTAAGAGAATCAATAATTCATGGAGGACGAGGGAATATGGGAATATGAAGCCAATTGCGATTCCATGAATATACCCCATAGGTATAATGAAGAGATCAAAAGGGAATAATTGGGGTATAGACTTCAATGATCAGGGCATCAGGAGATTCATTTTGGTTTTCAGTGTACGCAGCACACGCATAATTACGCAGCACCTAACGTGGTATCGGAACGCCGCACTATTTCTCTCAACGAGTGAGCGAAACAACTATAGCAAACATTCAGCGCACGCTGCATCAACAGGCCAGCGCGCTGTGACGCTAACCGAATAAAGTTTGGCTTTGTTCGTCGCGCTTGAGGTGGGTCCGAAAGTTTGTGCGGGTATGCTTCCCTTCGAGTTGTCAGTTCCAGAGGGACTGCTGCCGGTGCCCGCAGCTCAGTAGTTTGCTAGCATCCCCATAACATAGCCACCGGCCAAAACAGCCTCACGTGGCCGAGACATGTGACCCGTAAACCAGCCTCCTCCCGTATATCTAACGAGATGCTCGTAAAAGTACGGGGCAAAAGCAACGGTGGTCGGTATTGCATAATCATAACAATAACCGCAAGATCTAAATGTTACACAATGAGCTTTTGCTACTTTTGTTGGGTTACATCTAAAGTAACTACGTAATTGATTTAATACTGACTCGTGTTTGGCCGTCATTCCTCCTGGCTGGTTTCCCCTCTAAGCGTCTGCTCGCTGGGGAGCCGCTCGCAGTCTGTGTTTCTGCTCACCCGACTACTCTATTCTGATGGTATTTTTGCTCACCTGACCACTCTGTTCTGATTGTACTTATGCTCACCTGACTACTCTGTTCTGATTGTATTTTTGCTCACCTGACTCGGACGTAGCCAAGGGAGGGGCGGAGGGGGCACCCGCCCCTCCCTTGGGGTTTTCAGGAGGCCCCCCGAAAGGATTCAGGCCAACGTGGGCCGAAGGCCCACGTTGGCGAATCCTTTCGGCCTGAATCCAACGTGGGCCGAAGGCCCACGTTGGCTTAAATCACGTCGGAGGCGAACGAAATTCACGCGGGAATCTAAAAAATGACGTCAGAACAATCAGGGCCCTCTGACCAGCCTGACAAGTGACAGCTAGGGTCCTTCTCATCTCCTGTGAATAACCACTAGTGTCTGTGTCTGACCGCTTGGGCCCCTCTGACTCCTCAGTAGAGAGGAGGCCCTCTGTGGGTAGGAGGTCCTCTGTGGGTAGGAGGCCCTCTGTAGAGAGGAGGCCCCCTTAGAGAGGAGACCCCCTGTAGAGAGGAGGCCCTCTGCAAAAAGGAGGCCCTCTGTAAAAAAGAGGCCCTCTGTAAAAAGGAGGCCCTCTGTAGAGAGCAGGCCTTCTGTAAAGAGGAAACCGCCTGAAATCAGAAGGCCCTTTGAAGAGAGGAGGCCCTCTGTAGAGAGGAGATCTTCTGAAGAGAGGAGGCCCTCTGTAGAGGAGGACTCCCTCAGTAGAAAGGAGGTCCTCTGTAGCTAGGAGGCCCTCTGTAGAGTGAAGGCCCTCTGAAGAGAAGAGGCCCTTTGCAGAGATGAGGTCCTCTGTATAGCGGAGGTCCTGTGTAGAGACGAGACTCTTTGAAGAGAGGAAGCCCTTTATAGATAGGAAGCCCTCTGTAGAGAGGAGGTCCCTGTAGAGACTAGAGAGGAGGCCCTCTGTAGAGAGGATGCCCTCTGTAAAGGAGGCCCTCTGGAGAGAAAGACACCCTCAGCAGAGAGGAGGCAGTTACTGACAGGGGCACCGGGAAGGATCATCTGAGGTGAGGTGAGGTCATCAACAGTTTTTAGCCAATAAATCACGACATGATGGGGCTAAATAGTTGTTAGTGTACCAAACTGTTCGCCTGGTCATGACGCGTCGATTGGTACCCAGCATGACCTTCCTAGGTCAGATTTTGAAGTTGACCTATCTATGTAGGTCATTATAAACCATGTTATTTGTTATGACCTCTGGCGACCTCAATATTGACCTGACTCAAAAAACTTGTTTACAAAAGTTGTAAGTCGTTCAACGAACTATCAAACGCCGTTGCCGTTTGTCGCTACGGTTCGTGCTTTTCGAGTTCTGACGGGGGCCAAAAAGGCCCCCGCCTGATTCAGAGTCTTTCAGAGCCCGCCCGGAATACGGTTAAGCGCTTGAACGATATATGCTAATACACCAAGTGTTACTCTGACCTTTCTTTTAGGTATCTTGACTCTGACCGTCATCCAGTATCCACCATTCCTCACAGATCCTCCCCCTCCTGCTGCGGTCCGGCCGCCACCGCCGCCGCCGCTCGAGTTTTTTTTTTTTTTTTTTGCCAGTTACCACGCCACTCGGTGACTTGTGATATTCGTATGTTTCTTACCGCTGCAGCGGTAAGAAACATACTAGTGCGCTGGCCATATGAAAGCTGAGCAAAAGTGAATGCATTATGTTGTATGTAATTATGTAGGCATGAGACCCTCTGTAGAAAGGAGGCCCCTTTAGGGAGGAGGCCCTCTGTAGAAAGGAGGCCCCCGGGACTCCTCCGCCCCTCCCTTGGCCAAATCCTAGCTACGTGCCTGACCTGACTACTCTCGGTCCGTTTCAGCTCCTGGACGATCTCTTGGTGCTCACCAATCAGCTTCTCTAGGTCGTCCAGTCGCTGTGCCGCCTCCGACTGAAGACAGGAAGCAATGTTGTCATCGAGAAACGTTCATTTAACTGTTTGTGTAGCATTTGCAAAATGGGACTCAAAACGCTTGTTTTAATCAGGGTTGAGTTTTATTACTGCTTTTTAAGTCAGATTGACCCAAGTAACTCAATCATGAATCATTTTTCTTGAGCAATTTTAGACAGTCCACAGGTGCAACACATGCAATCGGTCAGCGGACAGACGGACTGACGGCATGAGGGACAGACGGACAGACAGAGCGGGAAAGAAAAATGGGGAAGAGGATGGGAGAGAGAGAGAGGAGGATGAAAAAAGAGAAAAAGGGGAAGTGGCAAAAGGGAGGAATTGATCGAGAGAAATGGAGGGAAGGGAGGCGATTAAAGGGCAGGAAATAAGGTAGTAGGAAAGTATAGAGGTCTTCTCACCTTCATCTGTGTGAGCTTGGCGCGGCTCCCCTCGCTGGTGTCACTGCGCGCGTCATCGTCCAGACACAGGGCGCCGCCATATTGGTCGCTGACAGTGCTGGAACAGCCGCACACGTGACAATTTACACCACCTAAACAAGGAAAACACACGCAGGTAATCTGCATGAGGTTCGGCGAAAGCATAGCTATAGTAATGCTGAAGCATCCTGTCGCACCGACACTGACGTATTCGTCTCGATAATTACAATGTCATCGATACATACATACAAGTACATACATCGGTCCAGCCATTCTCTGCATCGATTAGTTTCAGAGTCGCCCGCCAACAGCCTCACTCACCCGAGCCGGAGGACCGGGGACCTGTGGCACTCACCCGAGCCAGAGGACCGGGGGACCTGTGGCACTCACACGAGCCGGAGGACCGGGGACCTGTGGGCTGTGGCACTCACCCGAGCCAGAGGACCGGGGACCTGTGGCACTCACCCGAGCCAGAGGACCGGGGACCTGTGGCACTCACCTGAGCCAGAGGACCGGGGACCTGTGGCACTCACCCGAGCCAGAGGACCGGGGACCTGCGGCACTCACCCGAGTCAGAGGACGGGGGACCTGTGGCACTCACACGAGCCGGAGGACGGGGACCTGTGGCACTCACACGAGCCGGAGGACGGGGACCTGCGGCACTCACCCGAGTCAGAGGACGGGGGACCTGTGGCACTCACACGAGCCGGAGGACGGGGACCTTCACCAATCTCCCGAACCGGAGGACGGGGGCCTTCACCACTCACCCGAGCCGGAAGATGGGGGCCTTCACCAGACACCACTCACCCGAGCCGGAGGACGGGGATCTGCAGCACTGAGGTCATGGCCGGTGTGGGGCTGGCGGCGGCGACGGGTCTGACTGCTAGAGACCGCGGAACTGCCTGCTAGGGGACCGCGGAGCTGACTGCTGGGGGACCGCGGAGCTCGGACCGACTGAGGCCCGCCGGCGCTCCGGAGGCCGGCGCGCCGCCCGCCGACATCGAATCAATGGGATGTGCGCGCACCAGCCGCCGCCGCCGCCGCCGCCGATTCCCGGGGAGCGACCCACGTGACAGGGCGGCAGCCGGCAGGTCGAGGGACCCCACACACATGTCCTGCACGGTTTCAGTGACCACCAGCAGACATACCACATCTGCACAGAACGGCAGGGTGTGTGCGGTTGAAGGGTGCAATTAGATTGGACGGAGAGGGAGCATCATGAAAAACTTACTCGACATCTTGGGACTGATCGATGTTGTCGTTCGTCGCATCGGCAGCGTCCGCTTCTGCGAGCGAATGCGCAGCAGATGATCAGAATACTGCTAACTCACAACGGGAGCTCGACAAATAAATATCAATAATAATGTAAGGATGTGATGGCGAAAGAGTACACTGCCGTGATTTCACAACACGAAAAGCCAGTGCACGTTACCTAATGCTGGTTAAAAATATATGAATAATAGGCAATCCTATACACTATAGAACACTACACGCTAGAGTTGATCATATAGTCAATGGTTAAGTATAGAGACCTATGAGTTGAGCTTCAGCCAGCATATAACTATCAATATAAGGGGTTAGTGACATACTAATTGATATCCAATGTCTCGAATGGCGTATTCTTCTGTAAAGCCAGCGACTTATGATTGAGAGCGCTAGGGATCAGTTCTGCTCTCACTAACTTCACTCACCGTCGGTTCGTTCGTCCATGGGAGCGTAGCCAGCGTCATCTTCGAGCTGTTGATTGGAGCCGGGTTCACATTCTGCGTCTTCAGGTGACAGCTCCGGCAGGACGTCAGGCTCCGGCTCCGGCTTTGGCTCAGGTTCCACCTGTGGCTCAGGCTCTGGCTCAGGTTCCACCTGTAGCTCAGGCTCTGGCTCCGGCTCCTCTGCTGGCTCAGGTTCCACCTCTGGTTCCGGGTCTGGCTCAGGTTCTACTGTTGGGTCAGGCTCTGGCTCTGGCTCTGGCTCGGGTTCCACCTCTGCCTCTGGCTCGGGTTCCACCTCTGGCTCAGGCTCAGGGTCCACCACTGGCTCAAGTTCTGGCTCAGGCTCTGGCTCCGGCTCCGGTTCCGGCTCTGGCTCCGGCTCCGGCTCATACGGAGGCTCTGGGCTGAACTCGGGCTCGGGAGTGCCGAACTCCTCCTGCCCGGGTTCGACACTCTCCCGGTACTCCGTGCGACCTCCGGCGGTGGGCTCCAGGTCGGGGATCGGCTCCCCGCGGTCCGAGTAGAGGACCGACTCCTGCTCCGGGCAGTAGTCGTAGTAGTCCTCGTCCAGGAACTCCTCCTCCCCCTCCTGCTCCTCCTCCCAGACCGGGCGGGAGGAGCGCCGGCGGTCAGCGCAGCCGTCCTCGCTCCGAGCATTACTGGAGCGCTGCGAACGACAGTCCCCGATCTGGGCTTATTTGGGCGACCTGATAGACGGCGGAAGTGTGGAACATTGGAATCTTGCAACAGATATATTGGTTCACGGTTGTAGCACTGACTTTCATCTTATTTGAAAAAGTATGCATGCGTTATCACTGAGCAATGGGCATTGACAGCCGTGAACATTAAAGAAAAAAACTGGTATTTATCAAGACCGCCGAATCAAGTTCATAGATGGAACTGACCAAGGAGCTGAGTTTGGAGACATCATCGTCCTCGTAGATGGCCTTCTTCTTGGGCCTTTCTCCGCTGGCGATCATACGGAACGCTCCGGGAACTCCGCTCAGCGGCAGCAGGCGGACTGGAGGGGAGCACCAGGTCAGAACAGTGGCTCTGCAGCAGGCGGACTGGAGGGGAGCACCAGGTCAGAACAGTGGCTCTGCAGCAGGCGGACTGGAGGGGAGCACCAGGTCAGAACGGTGGCTCAGCAGGCGGACTGGAGGGGAGCACCAGGTCAGAACGGTGGCTCAGCAGGCGGACTGGAGGGGAGCACCAGGTCAGAACGGTGGCTCAGCAGGCGGACTGGAGGGGAGCACCAGGTCAGAACGGTGGCGGGACATCGGTCAGAACAGTGGCTCAGCAGGCGGACTGGAGGGGAGCACCAGGTCAGAACGGTGGCGGGACATCGGTCAGAACAGTGGCTCAGCAGGCGGACTGGAGGGGAGCACCAGGTCAGAACGGTGGCGGGACATCGGTCAGAACAGCGGCTCAGCAGGCGGACTGGAGGGGAGCACCAGGTCAGAACGGTGGCTCAGCAGGCGGACTGGAGGGGAGCACCGGGTCAGAACAGTGGCTCAGCAGGCGGACTGGAGGGGAGCACCAGGTCAGAGCGGCGGCGAGACACCAGGTCAGAACGGTGGCGGGACATCGGTCAGAACAGTGGCTCAGCAGGCGGACTGGAGGGGAGCACCAGGTCAGAACGGTGGCGGGACATCGGTCAGAACAGTGGCTCAGCAGGCGGACTGGAGGGGAGCACCAGGTCAGAACGGTGGCGGGACATCGGTCAGAACAGTGGCTCAGCAGGCGGACTGGAGGGGAGCACCAGGTCAGAACGGTGGCGGGACATCGGTCAGAACAGTGGCTCAGCAGGCGGACTGGAGGGGAGCACCAGGTCAGAACGGTGGCGGGACATCGGTCAGAACAGTGGCTCAGCAGGCGGACTGGAGGGGAGCACCGGGTCAGAACAGTGGCTCAGCAGCGGACTGGAGGGGAGCACCAGGTCAGAGCGGTGGCTCAGCAGCGGACTGGAGGGGAGCACCAGGTCAGAGCGGTGGCTCACCAGGCGGACTGGAGGGGAGCACCAGGTCAGAACGGTGGCGGGACATCGGTCAGAACAGTGGCTCAGCAGGCGGACTGGAGGGGAGCACCAGGTCAGAACGGTGGCTCAGCAGGCGGACTGGAGGGGAGCACCAGGTCAGAACGGTGGCGGGACACCAGGTCAGAACGGTGGCGGGACACCAGGTCAGAACGGTGGCTCAGCAGCGGACTGGCGGTAAGACGGCACGTCAGATTAGGGGCAGCAGGTGGACTAGCGGTCAAGGTCTAGTCACGTAATTGTTGGCCACATGGTCAATTCTTAGTTTCATTGGATTGCCGCATTGATTTCACAAATATATCAACCAATTGTTTTATTGTAGTTTCATTCATAATTGCATTGTTCATCATTTAGTAAATAACTTTTCATTTTTCGGGGTAGCATCGCCCATTGGGTAGCACCACCCGAGCTCATCAGGCAAAGAAATTCGCAGATTGCTGAACTATTAAGTTTTTCTTCATATCGTAAATTTCGAGGCGTTTTAGTATGTTCATTAACCCGCGCCCCACGGGGGGAGGGGGGCTATTTATAGCCCCCCTCCCGTTTTTCTGCAATAACTTCCAACCCCCTTGACATATCGACGCCAAACTTTCAGTATCTTTGGCTGCATCAATTTGACACCTTGTGTCAAAATTTGAACTTCGTAGCTACCATAGGTCGGCCGGAAATGACGTCAGAGGGACGTCATGTTCGGCCGATTTCGACGCAAAACATTCAACCACGGCAATCGCTCCCAAGGGCTCAGTTTTTAAGCTAGATCCAATTTCTTTGCATGAGAGGACTCAGAATAGACTGCGCTATCAAACTGCTATCTCGTATTTTCGAAATTGTGAAAATTTCGAAAATTTTATATAATAAAATTCAAAATTTACATTTTTACATTTTTTTTCAAAAAGTTTTTGACTTTTCGAAAAAATCGGAATATATGTGATAGAACGCGTTATAATGACTAACTCTAGCAAGTTTTAGCTAAATATCTTCAAAAATGGCCAAGTTATGCGCATTATTACAAAAAGTTCACAATTATTAATTTTTCAAATCAATTTTTCACCAAGTATTCGACATCTTACGCCAATATAGATAGCACCATCGTGTTCTTGAGCTCAAACTGCATCCAATAGACACCTTTTCTGTTGAAAATAACTTCAAAATTTGACCTTTTTTGACCTGAAAGTGACCTGACCTAAGCTAAATTCGACTCAAAATGACCTCGAATGACACAGACGACATCAAATTCGAAATCTTTGGCCTAAATGGACCAGAAAACATGTGTCACGTGACCGACGCATGATATAATATTTTCGTGACCTGTGATGACCTGACGTTGACCTGAAAATCAAAGTACAAGTTTGGTACCCTCAGGGTATCTAGAGCATCTGTTCACGAGTGTGTGAACCAAAAATGAGCCTGATCTGACTTGTAAGGCGGCGGCCAGAGCCCAAAACGTGAACAAGCCAAAATGCTAATAATTTTTATTTTGACCTGACCTGTGACGTCATCGGTGACCTTGAGGTCAATGAAATTAGGTTTCGCTCGACAGTTTTTCCGGGGCTATCAGACGCCGTTTGAATTTTGACGATCGGCCCAAGTAGTTTCGGAGTTAGGAGGGGGGCTATGAATAGCCCCCCCCCCCAGTAGGGCGTGTCATAATACTCAGACCCCAGTGGGGCGCGGGTTAAATGCAATGGGAACAAGTTTATTATGTTCCTGGTACAATGTAGTACTAATTTATAAAACGACACGACTACAGGTCAGACTACAGGTTTTTTCAATAACTTCCCCAAAGATTTTGGGGGAAGTTATTGGGGAAGTTGGGAAGTTAGTTTTTGAAACATAAAGCAGCGGTTTGATAACATTGCGTATTTTGAGTCATCTCAGACAAAGTGGATGGTGACCTCAAAAACTCGGCTGTTGGGAGTGATTGCCGTAAGTTTTGCATCAAAATCGGCCGAACATAACGTTAATCTCAAATCTGACGTCATTTTTAGTCGACCTATAGAAGCTACGAAAATTTCCTTTGAACACAAGGTGTCAAATTGATGCACCCAAAGTAGCTTGAAGTTTCTGCTGTTTATGCTCGATACTTTTCACTTTTTATAAAATATTGAAAAAATGGGAGAGGGCTGTCTAGAGTCTCCCCCTCTTCCTCAATCTGATGGTATATACGTGTACATACAGCTTGTAAGTAATGCGTCAGCTTCATGCCAAGTTTTATCGATCACCGCAGACACCGATCACCATGGCTTATAAAGAAATCGCCTGACGTCTACGTTCTACATTCTATGTAGGGGAAGGTGGGGTAAGACGGACACCCTAACTTTGGAGCCATTGTTCGGCCAGTTAGAAACATCATAGAAACGGGAAACTGAGTGAAAACCTTTTTTAGACATTTTACTTCCATTTCCCAGAAGATGAGACTTAGACCTGATTCAACAAATAAACCATGCAGCTATTTTTTGCAAAACCTTGCAAAAACCCTGTAGTGTATCGAGTACCTAGTGCATCGGGTGTCCGAGGCTCGGCATCGGGCCCCCGGTAATACGAGTGTGAGGCGGCCGCACCCTGCTCGGCTCCAGTCAGAGCCAGCAGTCGAGAGGCTCCGCCCGGCCGCACAGCACGGCAGTGCCTTAGTGTTCTGCACCGCGAGTTTGTGAGAATACATCGGAATCCGGAGACGGCGGTGAACACTACATCTGGCGACAAGGATGAGATCCTGAATACTACCGACGATGAACGTCGAGGGGGTGTCGCCGCCAACTCCGTTCCTGGCGAGACCAGGAAAACCAGCACTGCCCTGGAGTGACTGGATTTTCAGTTTCCACAACTACCTGACTGCCCTGGGAGGTGAGGCCTACAGCACGGAGAGGAAGACGGCTCTCCTTCTGCACTGTGTCGGCGCCGAGGCGCAACGGGTGTACCGTACCCTACCGGTCCAGCCGAGGAGAGAAGACGAAGACGAGTTCCATGCGGCTGAGCGGCAGCTCGCCGAGTTTTATGAACCTCAGGTCAACGTGATCGCGGAGCGGTTCTTCTTCCGGCAGCGACGGCAAGAGTCGCACGAGCCGACGGCCGACTACGTGGCGGCGCTGCGCCGCCTGGCAGTAAACTGCTCGTTTGGACAAATGACAGACGCAATGATACGTGACCAAGTCGTGGAAGCAACAGTGCATCCGATTCTCCGCGAGCGTTTTCTGCAGGATAAGGGCCTGACCCTGGACCGCGTTCTGGAGATCGCCGAGGCATTCGAGCGATCCCGACGCGAGGCGACCGCCATGGCCGGGCCGGCGCGGCCCGCCGCCGACGGAGCGCAGTCACTGCATCAGATATCTGACGCTCGTCAGCGCCGCGGGCGCCGGCCCTGGCGACCCGCCCGGCGGCAAGACGACCGCCGCCCCGCCCCTGCCCAGTTGCAAGCCGACCGTCGTTCCGGACCTGCCCAGCTGCAACCGGACACGTGCCCCAGCTGCGGCCGGCGCCAGCACAATGAGCGCGGTCGGTGTCCCGCTACCGGGGCCAGGTGCAGGCAGTGTGGGCGGACGGGTCACTTTGCCGTGGTCTGCTGGTCTGGTGAACGGAACGACGACAGAAGGTGTCACGAGCTGACTGTTCTCTGCTGCGCCGTACCAAATACCGATAAGATGATGTGCGAAGTACAGATGGAGGTACCAGGTATCACGCAGACCGTGAATCTGCAAGTTGACACGGGTGCCACGGTGTCCGCTTTAGGACTCGGCATCGCCAGACGTCTCTTCAAAGGCAGTCGTCTCAATAGAACGTCTGCTCGTCTGTTCGGTTTTGGTCGACACCAGCTTCAAGTGCTTGGCACGCTGCCAGCGCTGGTGACCTACCGTGGACGGCGAGCCAACACAGAGTTCTTCATCATAGATTCCGACGGTGAAGAAGCCGTCATGGGACTGGACCTGCTGAAGCAGTTGGACGTAAACCTGCACCCCGCGAGTGGGGCAATCGATCAGCTGGCGGTCACTGGGAGCGCAGAAGTCCCGGAACCGCCACCGTCTCAGCCCGACCCTGGCGAGATATGCTCACTGACGACAGTCCGTGGCTACCAGCACAGGATTGTTCTCCGTCCTGATGCTGTACCGGTGCGTCACAAGCTCCGCCGACTCCCGTATGCTGTTCGTGAAGAGGTCAGCCGCGAGCTGGACCGACTCCAGGAGGAAGGAGTCATCGAACCGGTCGAAGTCAGCGACTGGGTTCACCCGATGGTCGTCAGCAGAAAAAGGAACGGGAAGCTGCGCATCTGCGTGGATCTCAGGGACCTGAATCGACAGGTCATCGCCGAAGTTCATCCCCTGCCGACGGCAGAGGAGCTCCAAGACCAGCTGAAGGGCAACATCTTCACAGTTATCGACCTGCAGAGCGCATACCATCAGCTGGAGCTGGAGCCTGCTTCCCGTCAGCTCACCACGTTCCTGACTCACCGAGGCCTACGACGGTTCACGAGGGTTCCGTTTGGTCTGGTCTCGGCAGGATCTGCGTTCCAGAGATTGCTGGACAACCTGCTGGACGGCATCCCGGGATGTGTTCACTACATGGACGACGTCGCGGTCGTGGGAGTGTCACAGGAAGAACACGACGACCGTCTTCGGCTCGTCATGGCCCGACTGAAGGAGGCCAACTTGACAGTCAACAGAGAGAAGTCTGTGTTCAGCAAAGCAGCTGTCGACTTCTGTGGCTTCACGCTGTCTGCGTCGGGAGTCACACCACTGCAGTCACAGATCAAGGCCGTGACTGACGCACCACCGCCGGAGAACGCCAAGGAGCTGAAGTCGTTCCTGGGGATGTGTGGATGGTTTCTCAGGTTCGTCCCTGGGTACGCCGAGACCGTCCATCCACTGTACCGGCTGCTGAAGAAGGGCACCAAGTTCGTCTGGGACGACACAGCGAACCGAGCTTTCAACGAGGTCAAGCTGAAGATAGCTGCAAGCCCGACACTGAAGCCGTTCGACCAGAGCCTGCCTACATTCGTCACGTCCGACGGCAGCGGCAAGGGCGCTGGAGCTGTACTCACGCAGCTGAGCGCCGATGGAGAAGAAAACGCCGTAGCGTTCTGGTCTCGGGCGTTCACCCCTACCGAGCAGCGCTACTCAGTGTCTGAGCTGG